GATATCATCTTCCTATCATGAACAATTCAGAGAATACAAGAGAGACTAATACTTTAATAATACTGGTTTTGACTATTCAGTGGGTCCAGTAGAGCAGAGGGGAGCAGTTAAAACTACATGGCAAAAATGTCCCAAAAGGATATTAACTAAGAAACAAAGAACAAAGGCATTAAGAAAGAGCAATAACTCAGCCTCCCATTCATTTTTATTAAACTTAATTGCTATTTCATGCTTGCTAAAGGCTCATAAAATAGAAGCCCTACTCCAAAAGAGTAAACAATACTCCAGATACTGGAGAGAGAGACGCAAGAGCCGATGACAAGAAAGATATAATTTTCATATAAATTCACTTTAGAAAGTTTCTGGATTTACTCCAACATGATACGTAAGAGAGAAACTTCACTCATACATGCATACATATATTCATTCCTTTAAATATCCACCACACACTTACTTGTCAATTTCCAGCTCAGGCCTATATCACTTCCCCTGGAGACCAGTACTGATCCTATATGAATAATTTTCTTTCTCAACTGATAACTTTTGACAGAACTGCACTACATTCTCAAGCATTATGGCTAACTAAACAAGCTGGAAAAGTACCACTGATGCTTTGAAACCAGAATATAGTCGTGATAAATGTTTTCATCTTTAGTAAACTGAGTTTTATGACTTTAAGAAGCAAAAATAAACATCAGTGATATTTTTAAGTTAGCTAAAACATAATGGATATATTATATCTTCCGTGATGGACCTTACTTCCTTAATCCAAATAAAGCTGAATAACTTTGATCTCAAAGAGATTACTGTCTAGTAGCAAAGATAGAACAAGTAGACAGAAAATGCATACAATGAGACAGAAAATAAGTATCTTAACAGAGGCAGAAATTTCATGTTATAAAAGCCTTCCCAGAGGGTGTTGGGTAACAAAAGAGGTCTGTAATCAAATCAATCTGGGAAATATAAAAATGTAGTAAATAAATTTAAACAGATTAAAATGCTAATCACCACGGCCATTCTCCAATAGAAGGCTGCATTTCCTAAGTATATTTGACCAGGGCATCCTGATTTGCACAGCATGTTAAATGTCTAGTGTTTTGAAGACAGACTTTGGGAATCGATATCTTTGGGAATTTAGAAAAGCAGAGGCTGCTTTACGCTAAGGGGGTCAGGAAATATTTCATATAAGAACTAGTGTCTACACTGGGCCTAGAAAGATGTAGGGTTAAGACACTGTGGGGAAAGAGGACTTAGTGAAAAGGCTATTTCAGGCAGGAGAACAAGGCAACAAAGCACCTGCAAAGAACTGAGAATAGTGAGTAGTTCAAAGTAAATGTAGCATAAGCAGCATGAAAATGAGTTACAAAAATAAAGATTCAGCAAGGACATTAGACTTTGATGAAGAAAGTTTTCATATGCCAAAAACTTTGGGAGTTCAGTTGATAAGAAATGTACAAAATGGCCCTATTGGCCCAGGACATTTCTAGTTTACACTTGTGGACCAGAGTTAAATCAAGTATGGCATTTATTCAAATCAAAAGACTTCAGTTTAGAAGATAAATTATATGATCATTTGGTAATACATAAAACATGATTTTGTAAGTTCATATCATTTAGATATAGACAATAGAGTATGCTCAGATTAAATTACATAATGTCTGGAATATGCTTCAAAATAATTGGGGAAAGGTATAAATGAAAAAGATTGTGCATGAGTTGATGATTGTTGAAACTAGATGGTAAGTACACGGTGGTTTGTTATACAACTTTCTTCAAATAATGGTACATATTTCCCAAAAGAAAACTTTTTTAGAAAATGACATTAATAGGAGATGAAATGGTATTTCTGTGGAATTACTAATTTAACAAAATACAATATTTTAGCTATACTACTAAGTAACCACGATTTATCAAATAAGCAGAATTCCATTTTAAGGTGACTAAAAATTCACCTTCTTTCATCCAGAACTTCATAATTTAAAGTAAGAATGAAAACTAGGAAGAAAGGATACTCTATTCCCTCTTCTGCTTAAAGGTATTTTCACTATAAATGGTTACATTGAGAAGTTATTATAAAATCCCAGAAAAATATGAAATTTAATTGATTTCTTTGAAAATGTGCCCGTTTTTATATTGATTCTGCAAACTTACTCAAAAGCTTTACATATTTACTTTTTTTAGTGTCAGACAGAAAAATCTGTAAGTTGATCCAAGTTAGGACATTCCACAAACAAATTATTCTACTGCAAAATACTCTTCCAGAAAAGCTGCAAATATCATCAATGTACAAAATCAAAGCTATTTTAAAATAAATTGTATTTATAGCCTACAGTACAATAGGTCTTTTAAAAAAATTCTTCTTATATGTAGGTCCTTATTTGAAACAAATACATTTCTATCACCTGCTACTTAAATGACAGAAACTCAAATTAGTAGTAACGGATTTCACTCATGTAGAGGTATATAATTAAACATACAACCTATATCTACACCATTCTATGCAAAATTTTATTAGACCAACTAAGCTGAAAAATTACTATTATTATATATAATTTTTCCCATTTGTCTAATAAAACAGAGTACTGTGAAAAGTCTATTCTCAGTTCTAATTTATCAAAATTATTACAAAGCCTATGTCCTTCAAATCTAACTATAAGTTTAATACACAAATCTAATTTTAAACTGCTCTTCTATAATAAGGTTTAATTTTTGTTTTAAAATTCTATACTGAATATTAAATTAATTATTGAAAATCTATATTTTTTACTTATGCACTAAAAAAACTACAACATAAATAAGCTCTGTAAGATAATATCTCCATTATTAACTTACTTATATTTATTAACTTCTCATTAATCACTGTGGCAACTGAATGTATGCACTAGCATTTATTACACAGAAAGAAACTGACACCTATTGGCAAATGTAATATTACTGTCAACATGTACTGTCCAGTAGAGTCTAATGTTTAAATGAGGTTTAAATTTCAAAACATACATTGCCATTTAAATAAACTGTCTCAACAAATAATGATTTAGGATTTTTTTCCCAATTTAACACTCAGTTGAGGCAGCACAAGCTACCTTTATTTTTTAAAAAGAAAAGAAAAGGTGTCTGTATGCTCCTGACGAGATTTTAAAAAGTGAAAGCAGCTACCAAGAAAAACAGGCTCTAAGTCTAACATTAAAATAAAGCCATAACAGAGATGTCCGCCTTTGCAGAAGCCAAGACACATATCTTTGATTAATGATGAACAGCAGAAGACTACTGATAAGAGGTAAAGACAAATGCTCAGGAAAACGCAGCATCTGAATCTGGCTGCAATGTTCATCCTCTGTTGATTCACTCCTCTGTAACCCACATACTTGGAAGAAATGGATAGATTCATACATGGTTCCTTAGATAGGCTTTTTTCTCTAGTTGTTTTAATTATAAGTAATACAAATATAATATAATATATTAATGCATAAGACCTGGATAAGAACAAAGAATATACTAAAACAGGCCATGCAATATCCAAAGCTTCCCATATTATGTATATACTACACTTGTGAATGAAGATATTATTAACGAATACATGCTCCCCCAAAACTTTTAATTTATTTAACATATAGATATAACAATAAGACATGTATTGTACTTATGTACATTTAATAATTATTAAAGTATCAATAAATTTCTGATCAGCACAAAATAAATGACTGATAATTGGGTTCACATATTCATTCGTTCAAGAAATAGTTAACAAGAGCTACACTGCGCCAGCCAACGTCCTAGGTACTGGAGATACTAATGTAAATCTGTAAATGGTGTACATTAGGCTTTGTGATAAAACAAAAAATAACTCAATGAAACAGGATCTCTGTTATTATCTTTGTGATCTCTGATGAAATGATTACAAGCTCAAGGAGATGAGTTGTATTCTTCACAGTCTACAAAATGATAAATATGTGTTATAATTAATTATCATATTGTTACATATAGTGTAAAACATAGTATATAATATACACAATTATGTATAGACTCTAATGTATTAATTATATCAAGAATATGAGCTCTTACAGAAAGGAATAATGTCAATTACCCAGTGCTTAATACATGGTAGATATTAGGTAAACATCTAATGAATAAGTGTGAAAATAGGTGTAATATTTCAGAAGATGCAGCAATATGATTGGGATTCCCTAGTCATAACAAAACTGAGATCTGTGGCAAGAGAACTATTTCTGTAGCATATACATATCAGACTCTCTGGGAAACTAGCTATAGTTTGGATGGTGAGTTGACAAAGCTAAAACATAAGACAAGAGTGGGAATTATTGTTTTACTAGACTGTAGTGGAAAAAAAACAAATTCTAACTGCAGACTTCCTTCAGACTCAACTCCTGCTGTAATTTCTATCCATCTGGGCTGCCCTACTAATCTTGGACTTGCCAGGTCCCACAACTGCATGAGTCAATTGCTTAAAAAAAAAAAACCACATCAATCTCTTTCTTTCTCTTTGTGTGTGTATCCATTCTATGCTTATTTCTGCACTTCTGGGCAGTAGTAGAAGTTGTGAGAGGTGGTAGAAAGAAGGAGGGAGAGGAGGAGAGAGACTGAGACATTTCATTGAGTTTCAAATCCCTCATGTACGATAATCCAGTTACTTTCTCAAGTATGTTATGTTAATTAAGTAATTTAACAACTGCTTTGAAAGTATAACATAGCTACATGAACCTACATTAACTACAACTACTCAAGGAGGATAAATAAGGAGAAACTTACGCAATATAGTACAAAGCTTGCTCAACAATATGAAGAAAATGTGTTGCGGGTTGAAAATACATACCATAAAATTATAGTACTAAATACGACATCCCCAGAAACACAGGACTATCCTAATAACTGAATACCCATGACATGCTGATGCTATGATTACAATTAGTTTCCTGATTCTATCAAGTAAATAGTATAAACTCATATGCATATGACAGGAAACAAATCAAGTTGGTACATACTTGTCACAAAAAACTTTTTTGTGAAAGTACAGCTATCAAAGGCAGCAATTTTCTCCTGTAACACAACGACGAGGATCCTAAAATTAGAGGGAAAAAATAAAAGAAAATGTGAACATGAAATTCTATAAATTGAACCATAAATAAGTTAAATCATCTAGATTGAAACAAGTATCTACCAATGCAATTTTAAAAATTAAACATTTCTTATAACATTTAGACTAGAAATATCTGCCACTTAAAATGTAAAAATCTAACAAAATCCTCAATATAATCAAGATAGAAATGATACAGTGAGAAAAGTGACAGGAGAACAAATTACACCTCAAAAAGTTATTTTTCTCTAAATAAAATTTTATTTTCATTCATTATAAATCAAATAAATCTATCTTCATTAAGAATGTATGAGATCAATAAAGTGCTGGCTATTTACTAAAAGTGTTTTTCCAGTGCTGGCTCAAAGTCATGGAATTAAACATAAAATGGATTTATGTAACCTGTCACTTAAAATGATTGCTGAATTTCCCAACAACGAGCAAAAAATAAAGGGAAGAAAGAAAACTCAGATATCTATTATTCAGTGTAAATGAGTCTTTTCTGATTGACTCAATATATTAAAATTTAATCAGAATCTGTATAAACTATCTTTCTCCCAGAACCCAAGATTTATACATAATTAGGAAAATAATTTAGTTATAATTTTTTCAAAACCAAAATTCCTAAAACACATCTGAAATGAAGCTATTTTATAAACTATATTTTAGAGTACTGCTCCTTGTAGGACATTAATATAAATACCAAATTTCAAAGTTATTTTAAAGAACCAAATAAAAGATTATAATTGTTGTTAAATATTTAACATACTCAGTATATTTTTCAAAATTTGGGGAAGGTAAATCTGAGTAACAGATGTTAATGATGCATAGGGAAAAAAATGTTGTATTTAACATGCATACTTTATTAATCTTGTTCATTTACTGATGCAGAACAAAATCCTTAACACTGCTGACAACACATAATAAATGATTCCATCGTGGCACTTAACAGAAGAAACCAACCAATCATCAGACCCAGGTTAAAGGGCTCAGGGAATCCATAATAACAAGGTGACAAACCCAAATGAGAGCAAATGCAGAAAAGACAAATCAGAGATGAAAAAGATATAATCAAGCAGTCCCTCCCCGAAACACAGTAACAAAATGATTTCCACAAGGAAGGTTTAATTTTTCATGAATATTGATAAGTTCAAAAGACTATGCCATACATCTGATTTGCAAAAACAAATGCAAAATTAACCAGACAAAGACCTGGTGAATCAGGCTTGATATCTTATAAAGTCTACACAGCATCTTGAAATCTACACGATAGTTTTTCCTCTAGCATTCGCCACATTTGAACTCATACAATTTCTAATTGGAAAATCAATTCAAAAAAAAATTACATAATGTATCCAAATCAACAGATCTTTTGTTGGAACATATCTTCATATAGTTTTCCTTTTAAAAAAATTCACGTAAAATATGAACCTTTGCTGCCTCAAATATCCAGAGAACTTCATTTCCACTTTTCATTGATGATATTTCATATTCATAAATCACTCTTCTATCTGCTTTTATTCCTACTCACAAGTTTCATAATCATTAATTACTTGTGATGAGGACACCAATGACTATGAAAAAATAAACTCTCTTAATTTTCAAGGTAATTTCTATCTATTAGAATGTTAAATATTTTCATTATTTCATGGCCAAAATTAAAAGACAGAAAGACAAAAATATTTGCTGTAAGAAAAGTAAATCCTAACTGTATTTTCAAGAGCATTATCCAGAAACGCAGTACTTGGAACAAGTGCAGAGTTGAAGAAAAAAACAATTTTGTGCTTCACAGCCCTTTTAACAGTTTGAAAAAATAATACAAGAAATACTTTCCAAAAAATTTAACTTGATTCTGTTTTTCTATTTTCTAGTATATTCATGTATTTGTAATATAAGCAAATTGCGACCCAAAAATCTATTTGTACTTATCTCCCTTTTCAAACGTGTTCAAGTTTCTCTTTGGCTACATAACATGGAATCTACTTTATGACAGCACAAAGAACACTTGAAGGAGACCTATCATTACAGGTTTTCAAGTTAAATATATTACCTACTGGATCCATCCATTTGATAATGTTGACTTTGAATAATTTGATGTGTCACTGGATAATGACATTATCCCAATAATAATATGAGTATTTCTCCTACTTCCTATAATTTTGAGTTTGATATTATTTGAAGTATAAATATGCATAATAATTAGATCTTCATTACGAATTGCACACTCTCCTCTTCTTTGTCCTGTTTAATGTTTTTGTACTTGAGTTCAAATACTCTTATCATTAATATCATAGCTCATGTGTTTTTTTACTTTAGTTTGTATTTGTCAGCTGTCTTTATCCTTGGATTACATTCAACTTACCTGAGTCACTTTTTGAAATATCCCTTTAAAATGTAACCTTAGAGTCTTTTACTATAAAATGTGCTTTATATTGACATGGCAAAAAATATTTCATTTTCCATGTTCCATGTGTTTGCTTTTTAATGAGATAAAGGATTTATAGTTTGCATTCATGACCTTGCTGAAGACATTTACCATTGTAGGACTTCAGTCTCCTCAAATGTAAAAGGAACGTGTTCAGTAATAGAAGATTCTTAAGGTCCTTTTCTCCTCTAATGTTCTGTGGTTATATAAATTAATTCTTCATTATCACTAGGTCAAGTAGAAGTTCAACCCAGATCTGAACATTTTCCTAGAGATTTTAACAAAATAGGTTTTAAAGAAGGAAAATCTTCTAGTGCCTGTTTTAGCTCCACTGCGAAGTCTTAAGGATTAAGAACACTTAAAAGCCTTTTTTGGTGTTTTGATGAATGCTAACAGGAAAATTATATTTCACATCATAAATCAGTAACGACATAGAAGTACATACATTATATATACTAAAAAGTTATATGATACATATAAAAAGGTTCCTCAAAGCAATACTGAACCTTTGTTTGTTTGCTCAGATACTTTCTATTCTTTTCTATTTCATTTTTTAAAATGCTGGTTATGACTCACTGAACATGGTTATGCTTTGAAATGCTGGTTATGACTGAATTCACAATTCACTAATGGCTCAAGACTAGAAGTCTGAAAACATTCATTAAGAAATCTTAAGGGCTACTCTATTTGTCAGAACTCAGAAGGTGTTTTGTGACGTTTAAAAAATAAATCGAAGATAGTCAATGATATTGGTAGAGCTCTACATGCCCAGGAGGTATGTTACCCTGTACCAGAGGCACATGAAAAAATGCTTACCGCTTGTTGCAATGGAGATCATAGATAGGTGTTTTAAACTGAATGGACTTGACCATCTCCCCAGTACGAAGTGAATATAGATCCACACAACAGTAAGGTGGACTTGTTCTAAAAAAAAAAAGACAAAAGCCATTATTTTTAACTAGGTGAGAGGGCCAGTAAACTCTACTCTACATTTTCTTATTAACATAATCTTAAAAGCTCTTATTAATATAAGCAAGTTGATTTGAACTATTAAAAAAGATCATAATATATTCCAATCAACTCATTTCAGGAATGCAAACTTAGGGAAAGAAAAAAAAATGAAACAGAGTCATCAAATTAGTACCATACAAAAGAAAAATCATAAATTATCTGAATAAATGCAGAAAGGAATTTGATAAAATTAAAAACCAACTCATGATAAGAAATATTTCATTAACCTCATAAAGGATACCAATCTGAAAACTAACAAAAACTAGCAATCACATATAATGGTAAAATATTGAAAGTTTTCATCCTAAAATCAAGAAATAGACAAGAATACTCATTATTGCCACTTCTATTCAACAGAGTATGGAAGGTCCTGTGCATAAGGCAAGAAAACAAATTACTACACGGAAGAAATAAACCTGTCATTATTTGCTGAGAACTTGATTATATAAGTATAACCACCCCCCCCCCGAAAGAAATCTGTAAGTAGAAATACATATACAGCCAACACCACAACAAAGATAAACCATTCAACATAATATGTGGATTTACCAAGATCATTAGATAACAGTACCTGTATTTTTATAAGTTAAGGACAAACAATTATAAAGAAAAATTTTAAAACAGATCATATGTTGAATATATGAATATCGAATATACTGGATTAAAGCTAAGGAAATATTTCAAGATATTTACACAAAAACAAAACAAAACCAGAATAAATGGAAGTATATATCACAGGATGACAGACTTTCTAAACTGATAAAAGTTCAACTCTAATCAAAAATCTACCAGAATGGGAGTGTAAACTGGTGCAGCCGCTATGGAAAATGGTATGGGGTTTCCTCAGAAAATTGAGAATAGATCTACCATATGGTCCAGCTATTCCATTGCTGGGTATTTATCAAGAGAACTTGAAAACACACAAGCATAAAGATACATGCACCCCTATGTTCATTGCAGCATTATTCACAATAGCCAAGGCCTGGAAGCAACCTAGGCGTCCATCAAGGGAGGAATGGATAAAAGAAGATGTGGTAGTATATACACACAATGGAATACCACTCAGCCATAAGAAATGATGAAATCCAGCCATTTGTGACAACATAGATAGACCTTGAGAATATTATGCTAAGTGAATAAGTCAGAGGAGGAAAGTCAAATACCATACGATCTCACTCATAAGTAGAAGATAAAAACAATGGCAAACAAACACGTAGCAACAGAGACTGGATTGATGGTTACCAGAGGGGAAGTGGGGAGGAAGGAGGGTGAAAGGCGTGATTAGGCACATATGTGTGGTGATGGATTACAAATAGTCTTTGGGTGGTGAACATGATGTAACACAGAATTAGAATTATAATATGATGCACATCTGAAAGTTATATAACATTATAATCCAATGTTACTGCTATAAAAATAAAATTTTTTTTTTAAATCTACCAGGAATGAGACTTCCTTCTAAAATGGACATGGACACACATTCCACATGGTAAGGCTGATATTGTAAAGGTATACTAATTCAGACACTGTGTTCTTGACACTAGAACAGATGAAGAGAGCAATGTTTCCACTTTAAGAAAGTAGGAAACGAAGAGCAAGTTAAATCCGATGAAAGTAGAATGACAGAATTAATACAATACAAGAAGAAATCAACAAAATAAAACTTGAGTAAACAAAAGAAAAAAAATGAAACTAAGACCTAGTTCTTTAAAAACAAAGTAAAACAAACTAAAAAGAAACATAATTTGAATATTCCAGTATCTATGAAAGAAATTAAACTTATAATTTAAAACTTCTCAAGAAGAAATACTCAAAAATTTGCAAATTCTATCAATCATTTAAAGAAAAAGATTTAGATATCCTACACAAATTCTTTCCTAAGGTAGAAGAGTAGTCAATTCCCAACTTATTTTATGAGGCCAGTAACACCTGAAAACTAAACATACTTCACAAGAAAAGAAACTACAGATATAGAGATATATATATATATGTCTCATGAATTTACACCAAAAATTCCTCAACAAAATATTAACAAGTCAAATCCAGCAACACAAAACCAGATGAGGCATTTAGCTCAGGAATAAAGGTTGTGGAATGAAAGAGAACTTCTTGAACCTGATGAAGGCCATCTATAAAAAAACCTACAGATGAAAGAATAAACATTTTCCCCAAAAGATCATGAACCAGGTAAAACTGTCTGCTCTTATCACTCCTACTTAACAATGACAAGCTAATTTTAAAATCTGTATGAAAATTTACAGAACGTGATTGGGGAACTTTACATACATGAGACTTATTGTTAAGCTACAACAATTAACATAGTATGAGATAGGACCTCACAACTGTTAGAATGGCTATCACCAAAAAGATAAGAAATAAATGTTGGCGAAGATGTGGGAAAAAAGAGAACCCTTGTGCACTGCTGGTGGGAATGTAAATTGGTGCAACCACTATGGAAAACAGAAGGAGGGCTCCTTAAAAAATTAAAAACAGAACTACCATATGCATGACCAGCAATTCCACTAACGGGTATTTATCTGAAGGAAATAAAAGGACCAACTCAAAAAAGATTTATGCACTACCATGTTGATTGCAGCATTATTTACAATAGCCAAGACATGGAAGCAACCTAACTGTTCATCAACAGATGAATGGATAAAGAAAATGTGGGGGCCAGCCTCATGGCCAAGTAGTTAAGTTCACGCACTCCACTTCGGTAGCCCAGAGTTTCACTGGTTTGGATCTTGGGTCCAGACCCAGCACTGCTCGTCAAGCCATGGTGAGGTGGCATCCCACATAGAACTAGAAAGATCTACAACTAAAATATACAACTATGTACTGGGGTCTTTGGGGAGGAGAAGAAGAAGAAGTAAAAAAAGAAACTGTGACACATACACACACACACACATATACAATGAAACATTATTCAGCCATAAAAAAGAAGGAAATCTTGCCACTTGGGACAATAAGGATAGACCTTGAGGGCATTATACTGAGTGAAATAAGCCAGACAGAGAAAGACAAATACTGTATGATGTCATTTATATGTGGAATTTTTTTAAAAACTGAATTCATAGATACAGAGAACAGATTGATAACTGTGAGAAGTAGGGGGTGGGAGGTAAGTGACATGGTGAGGGTGGTCAAAGGTACAAATGCCCAGCTATAAGATGAGTAAGTCTTGGGGATGTAATGTACAGCATGGTGACTATAGTTAACAATACTGTATTATATATTTAAAAGTTACTAAGAGAGAGCTCAAAAGTTCTCATCACAAGAAAAAAAATTGTAACTATGTGTGGGTGTAGGGATGGATGTTAACCAGACTTATTGTGGTGATTACTCTGCAATACATACAAATATCAAATCATTATGTTGTACACCTGAAACTAATATAATGTCATGCATCAACTACATCTCAATTTTTTAAAAAGATAGTATGATTGTCTGAGCATAGATACATAGATCAAGGGAACAGAACACAGACTCCGTAAACAAACTCACACATATAGCCAACTGATTTTCAGCAAAGATGTCACAGAATTAAACGATGAAAGGACAGTCTTTTGACCAAATATTGCTAAAAGAACTAGATATTTGCATGGAAAAAATTAAGTTTTCCTGTAATTTATATTATATATAAAAGTTAACTCAAAATAATTCATAGATCTAAAAACATAAGAACCAAAACTATACAGCTTCTAGAAGAAAATATAGCAGAAAAATCTATTTCTTAAACAGGGAAAGGCATGAATGAATAGATATAACTGACAACACAGAATTCACCAAAATTTAAAACTTTTACTTTTTAATACAGAGGTAAAAAAATGAAAAAGCAAGCCCCATATTACAAGAAAACAGTTTCAAAAGATATCTGACAAAGGGTTCGTACCCAGAATATAAAAAGAAATCCTATCACTCAATAATAATGATACACACAACGTATTTTTTAAATAGCCATAATATTTTAAAAGACACTTCACCAGGAAAGATGTAGAGATAACAACTAAGTACTTGAATAGATATTAAACGTCACTAATCACCATAATAAAACCACTAAGGCATACCACTACATTCACCAGAATGGCTAAAATTTAAAAGACTGGTAATACAAGAACGCAAAGTAACTGAAACTCACATACATAGCTGTTGGGAATGCAAAATGATACAGTTACTTTGAAAAATAGTTTATCAGCTTTTATAAATTAAACATACTCTTCACCTAGGTAATTTGTTATTCATAATAATAAAAACAGTTAAATATTGATCAAGAGGAGAATAGACAAACATATTGTGATATATTGATGCAACGGAATATTATTCAGCAATTTAAAAGGACAAATTATCCACACAACAAAATAGATGAATCTCAAAACCATTATGAAGTAGAAAAAAAGCCCAAACATAAAGGTCTACATACTGTATGAGTCTCTTTCAATGCAAAAGCTAGAAAGGCAAAACTATAATAACAGGAAGCAGATTAGTGGTTGCCAGGGGCCAGAGAAGAAGGGAATCTATAGCATGCGCATGAGAAATTTCGCGGGCGATGGAAATGCGGCGGTGTCTTAATTATGGTGGGTACTTACACAACTGTATACAACTGGCAAAACTGGAAGTGGGGGAGAATCTAGTAAAAGCCAAACTTCAATCTCAAAACTGACACAAGGCAAAAATTCTTTTCTTAATGTTCCCAACTAATTAATCCAGTCCTCTGCTGAGAAGCAATGAGTTAATAACGAATGAAATCTAACATTTTGCCAGACCAACTGGGAAGGAAAAAACAGCTTGTCACCTTCAATTAGCAGCTCATTATAGCCACAGTACACTAGAAACTTGAATTCTGATCATTTCACTGGCATTCATACAATGTCACAACTGAGATTCTTCCTGAAGAAAGCCTTCAATAGAAGTAG